CCCTTGTAACTTTAAGAAACAAAGGTCCATCACCTCCAAAGTTTCAGGAGCTAGTTGTCATAAAAGATGCTTATAAGCCAAAAATGAAAAAGCTAGGACCTTTTTTTGTCTGATTTAGCCAGGGGGAACATATTATAGCAGGTTTTTTTCATCCCATATTGCCAATTCTGGCAATATGGGATGAAATAAAACGCCTGATGTTAGAATAAAGACTGTTTTTTAAGGATAGTACAACATAGATAAATTGTAAGTTACTATAAACACAAATATAGATTTAAGTACTAAATTTCACACAGGAAAAAGTTATTTTCCTTCTGGATTTAATCTTTAATGATTACACATACACTCCATTTTCTATTTCATTTTTATTACAAGTGTAACACGGGGGAATTACCCGGATGTGGCCCTAAAACCCACTAGTAGACCTCTAAAAATATATTCAAGCAGCCTAGGGTCTCCCAATTAAAAGTACATAGGTAGGTCTGGCTTAAAATGAGGAAGCAGAATTAGTATACAAATTATATATTTTATTTAGGATTCTTTTACAATTAGATGTCAAACTATATATATTCTGCTTTAAAATCCAATAAGGCACAGGAGCCCGTGACAAAACAAGAAGCAATCTGAGACTCTAGAAACACACTGCAAGCCACGTTTGTAACACACAAGATAAGACAAAATCATTAAGTCAGAAAAAAACGAATCGGACGTTGCGTCACCCAGTCCGGTAGAGCTGTGCCCAATCAGCTTACCGTATTCATAAAAGAAATAAATTGTTGTTCTGGTTCTGTAGTGCCTGTGCTACAACCCCAACTCTAGAGAAAACCTTTTAGTCTATTAACCAAGAGCATAAAAAAGGGTGCCATTGGTGAGAGCATAATATGCAACAGCAGCAATCTGTAACAACCAAAAATGACAATAAAGTGTCTGCCGAATATAATAAAGCCATAAGGTAAAAGAAAATAATGTACCTTCATCAGCCACACACAGGGGTATATGCAGACGCTGCAGTGAAAACCCACAACTCTTCCAGCAGCCCGAATATCCAGGATCCAAATCCTAGTGTAGCAGCACGGCTCCCCCTTATGCGACAGAATCTAATGCACACCAAACAGAGCCGACTCTCATAGCTTGCTGGGCACACCTAGTGCCTATATACGCTAATGAGCCTGTCAATGCCGTAAAACTGACATGAAGGTAGAGAAACAGGGCATTGATGTGTTCAAGGGCCCGAAACCGATGGGAATTTACACCCAGTAAACCACCCGGTTAAATCCAACCCCCCTCTATGGATCGGTGCAGTTACTGAGAGACGATGGGGGATTGGAGTGTTTGCCAGCAGTTTTACGAGTAGATCTTCTAGGTCCAACCCTACTGCTTTGAGAGGTTTGTGGAGACTGTGGCACTTCAACAGGCGTCCGACCTGTATGGATAGCTGACGGTTCTGGTACCAACGGCGTGGTTGAATTACTGCCAGTCTCCCGGAACCCCAGCCAAGATCCAGACGCCATATCATCCTCATCAATGTTCTCCTCAGGTGCCCGCTGTGACCAATCATATGTGACCAAGTGTAAAATAAATGTAAAGAGACTTAATTAGTAGTAAAATATTTGTACGTTTATTTGCAGAAATATAAAAGCATCATTATTAGTTGTTCTAAAATCTTATATAA